TAATCTTTCCCTTTCACACACACCTCACTAATGACGAGAGAGGAGATACTGTCAAAGCCAGGACTTTATTTTCCCACCATTGTGGGATAGAGAAGAAGACAGGAGGTAAATGAAGGCCAAAGAGATAGAGCTAAAAATAATAATAATTCTAGACTTATGTGAAGCAAAGCAGAGTGCCAACACCAGGACACAGCAGAAACCAGAGACAGCATTAACCACAGCACAAGGGCTGACACTGTAGCTCTGTTGGCTACTGCCCCATCGTAACATTGTCAGACAGATGCATCAAAGGTACAGCGGCGCGTGTGTGTCTGAGGATATCGGATTGCATGTATGTGTGTGCACCACTCACCACTTGCATAGCTGAGCTTCGGGGTGTGTGTGGCTCGATGAGCAACTGGCAGGGGGTCTGTCCAAAACTCCTGATTTGAGACTCTACAGCCTGGGAAGACAAAAAGAAAAGACAATAAACAGAAAGTGTTAGCCTTTTTTTCCAGATTTTCTTACATCACTGTGCCCCTTAATGTAAAATACTGGCACAGCCTCTCTGCCTAAAATGCTCACATCATATATATATCACATCACTACATGATCAATGCTGCATCTAAAATGCTCACATCATATATCTCCTAAGATCACATCACTACATGATCAATGCTGCATCAAGGTAAAATTATTGTACTTTAACAAGAAAACAAAGATGTAAAACCTAAAACACCGAGGGGAAAACATGTACACACTGACACATGTCGCCATACTTCATCACCGTTTGACACACAGTCGCACACACACCGATTTATCCTCCACAACCCCACCGAGAATCAGAGGAGGGCGGGACAGGCAAGGCTTGTGGGCTGGTTAGGTGGTGTTAATGAAGAGGTATAGGACCATAAATGTCAGAGCAGACGCTGGCTGAGGAGCCTCTGGACGTCATCACACATCTCATTGTCAGGCCAGCGAGCACGGGATGGAACGTACCCACCCAGTGTATAGATTCACAGGGTTACTACCAATAATACTGTGACAAACAAGAAGATTATTCTGTTTATTAACTTATTGTGTCTATAAAATGTTAGAACCGTATCGGTGACCTCTTAAACCTGCTCTTTGTCTGATGGACAGTCCTAAAGCTAAAGACGTTTACTTAAACAATAATCAGATTATTACGATAAAATAAAAGCTAAAATTCAGACAATAAAAGCTCATCAAAATTTTGTGTTGACTAATGGCTAAATCAAGTAACTGTTTGACCAGTACTATTAGTATTAGCAATCACAAATACAATGAAATGTTTATTTTGCTTTAATTGAATGTCATTTAGGAATAAACAGGGTCTTTAAATCCAGCTATATCTAAGCATAGAATACAAGGTGGTGTTCAATATTTGCTTAAAAAAAATCTCTGCATGTGCTGGAACTCACAAAGACAAACAAACCAAAATAAAAAAAACCAACTCTTACTATGAAATACAAAAAACAAAAGGAGTGGAAGTTTGTATAACAACATTAAGCAGATACTACCCAGAGTAAGAAAATCTATCATGTGAAACAGATACAGTATGATAGATGGTTTGTAAAAGAGACAAGCTGAGAGAAAACGGCCAACACAACATTATGACAGCCCCGTCAGTATGTTGGTTTGCACTGTGCTTGGCTGTGTAGGAGTGACAGTGTGTGTGTGTGTGTAGGCTGAGAGGTTTGAGCCTGACTTGGCGAGGCCTGTTAGAATGAGCTCATGGCTGAAGCCTGCATATGGTATTTCCATGAGAAAAGAGTTGGGAAGTTTGTCGGCTCATATCCATTGTCTGAAACTGACTGAAGAGCGGAGGCCTAGAGGAGGAGTGCGATCACAACCGGCCATTAAAAGGTTCATCAGCTCCTTTAGAGCTAAGAATCATGCACCAAAATTGTACATAGTATTTGTCATGTGAATGCAGAACTAAAACACCATAGATATCTTATCATTCTCCCTTCATCTTCTTTACTGTGTGGATTTTCTACATTCTGCAAGTTTTGCACTTTATGGTTGACTGTCACATTTTTACCTTTATCACTCAGCTAAACTACAGGCTGGGAGCTTATGTATAATACGATGTAAATTCGCCACTAGCCCTGTTAGAATGATCTAAAGTATATTTTCAGATGTAATACATGACAAGGAATGACGAAAACCTGAAGAAAAACTTCTAAACTGCCCGTGTGTTATCAGGAGTGTCTGTAGTTTTGTGTTCTCGCCTAAACTATATTTACCCTATGCTGGCCTGAACACATGCATCTGTGCACGCATGATAAATGTGAGGAGATACCTCTATGATCCAGGTGTATGTACATGAACGCTAGTCTGTAAATGTCTTTAGATGAAGCCCCCCCCACCCCTTGACACACACACAATAATATTAAGGATCAAAACTCTACATGAGTGTAGTACTTCCCTGTACTTGTGTTCTTGCGGATTCAGTCACAGGCCAAGTACCGCTCCAATTCAAAGTCTGCATCCAGCCAAGTGCACATCAAAAAACCAGAAGTGTTGTTGCTCCACCCATTTTATCGAGGATGCTTTGGGAGCTGACTTGTGATCTTGACCCTAATCATGACAGGGAATCTTTCACATTTACCTATCTCATTAACAGTTAGTCTGACATCAGTGCATGATTCAAGGTCAAAGTGCATCCTCCTCCTCCTCTGCCTATAGTGTGGAGCGTTCTGTTTAAGCTAATGTGTAAAAGAGACTCCTCAAACCTGTCTTCATTAAGTTCAGCGCTGACATATATGAGGCTATGGAACGTCAAAGTCCAGGTCAGCATGTCCTCTTCCTATATACCAATGCTCAGCTTATTATATAAGGGGCCATCCACAAGGCCAATCTCTTTTGGGGGCACTGGCCCATGTCTGATGAAGGTTTTCTATACATTTAAATGGCTCCGACGCCCCCGGCTCAGTCGTCCCAGTTTACACTTTGATTTACTCAGCCACTTGCCAAGATGGATCTCCATGTAAAACATGCTGCTTTTATGTAAATCTCACCAATAACACTCTCTGTGAATAAAATACAAAACAATAATGAAATGACTAAAAGCTAAACTAAAAGGACCTGGTGTGATATTTTGCATCTTTGGCTTTAGATGACCACGATGTAAGAACAACAGTAAATAGAGCAAAGGGAATATTGCCCAAAAAAATAAACAAGTGGGCCTTGTGTTTAGTGAGCGACTTCGGCTGAATGTCAAAGCAGGTTCGCTCGCGTGGGTATATTTCCCCTCTTCTGCCGAATTACGCAAACACTGGACAATTCAGACGGGGCTCTGTGCTTTGTCGCTGGTGTAAGGGGCTGTGGGATTTTTCCATAATCACATGTGAAAAAGGGGAAGCCCTGTAGAACGATGAGAAGGCAACGTAGGGTGTGTTTCTCCTTATACACCGAGAAGAACCACAGATGTGCATGTGTGCCATTCACAAGGGTGCACATACGAACACAAAAACACATCTGCACAGAGTGAGAGGGGGGCAAAGTTTTGACTTGTGGTGGAGGCAGGACAGGAAGTAATCATGGTTTTGAAAAACACAGCAGCGGCCTCCACAGCATTCCCTAATCTGTGCTGAGATATTCCAAACTCTCTTGCAGAACAGAAAGGCACACATAAACATACAACCGTGTGCATTTATGCTGATGAGCACACATAAATATACAAAACCATACACATACCAATGAATGCATGTATACATACAGTACATATCTACAAATATACAAGGTATGATCCATGAAAATCTCTGGATTTGTGTTTGAGAGGCTGGTTGGCGCTGGTGGGAGTTAGCAGCTGCTAAAGCAGGAACACAGAATCAGCCAGCCAGGACTACAGAGCCCTGTAGCCCTGTCTACTACCTTTTCTGACCCAAACATACATACACACACTCATGCGACCCATCCCCCTGACACTGAACAGCCCCGGGGCCTGTCCTAATGCAGCCTAGCTTGGCCCAGACACAGCTCAAGCTGAAGCAGTTGTCACTCAGTAATGGCAGACTCTGGGGACACTTTCAGACTCAAAGCCCTCACTTTCAAAGCTCTTGCTGCCCTCAGCCACCAGCCTGCGCCCGGCTTTGATGAGGCCCAGGCCTGGAATTCTGTTTCCACCTTCGGCACAGACGGGGCACACTTCCTTCCACACAAACACAGCTGAAGGAGAGCCTTGGCTTGGCTTACAGGGATAACACTGCTTGGGTTTATTTAACTAATTAGAGCGGTCTAAATGAGAGTGTTTAAACCCAGCAGACTCTCAGCATCATAGAGGGAGCAGGAGGAGAAAACACACCATTATATTTGTAGGTATTCTTCACAATACAAGGGTCAGTATCACACTTCTAGTGTTAAATGTGGCATGGGTATCCTTTTAAAGCTTGAATATATAATATTCAATTAAACTGTGATATGTTTGAAAATTTTACAACAAACAAGAATCTAGATCCCATGTTTTCCAAAACATTTGATGAGTCCTTTTACCACATTCATTATTTACAGCGCACAGTAATTTGTAAGGGCAAAAGCATTTGCAGAGCACACAATATATAGAAGACTTTAAGCACTGATGGGGGACATTGATCCTCCACTGGCTCACTCCCATGGCCACTGTAACGGTTTGGTAGAAAACGTGCAGTGCCAGAGATCCAGTTCTGTGCTGCGAGTGTGTGTGTGTTAGCCAGAAAAATGGGTAATGAGCTTGGGCTGAGCGTGGAAATGACCGGTGTACCCTGGTAATGAATCTGCATGTGCTGCGCAGTTAAAGGCCAAAGCACATCTGGATGGGAATTGGGGTGAACGAGGTGATAAATCAAGGATCTACCCCTGGTGCCCGTGATGCTCCAGTCACTAAGCATGAAGGGCAGCAGAGCAGCAGAGGCACTTTCATCCCTTTGATATATACTGATCTCATCTCCATTTATACCTCATTTCTATGAGGACCTTCACTTAAAGGATAATTCTGGTTTATTACAACTCAAGCCTTGCTTTCATTGTTTCATCCATTACTGGTAATAACGATGTTATATTCACAACTTCAGTGGCTAAGATGAAGTTAAATGGCAATGTTGCTATACTGAAGTAGGATGGTGCAAGGAACAAGCAACCAGAGGATCACAGATTTTAAACAAACCCCAGGGTTAGCTATGTTAAAAAAAAAGTGATTAAGATAATCTATGAGAATGTCTGACCAATCACGTTTCTTGTCCTTATATTGAAGCAATATTATTATTAGTACCATATTTCCAGATCTCAGCAATTGCTTTAACAAGCACACTAGTTCCCAAGTCAATAAAATGATGGCCAAAAGTAAGAAAATTACACTCACATTGTGTTAAACTGGAATTAGCCTAGTGACTATACTCTGACAAGAATAGGATGAGAATAGGAAATAGGATAGGCGCCATTTTTGGTAGTACAGCCTGGATGTCTAAAGGCTGATGGGAGCAGGGTCAACTGTCCTACTGCAGGCTAGCTGCCTTTTATAACCGACTGATGAAACTGTCAGGCCAGTGTTTGGCTGTGTTTTTCTTTGCTGCACTGTACTTTGTGTGGTTGCTTTCGGCCAGGCCAGTGTAGCTTTGCAGTGCAGCAGCTTAAAGTGCGAGGGATGAATAATGGATGAAAGCCAGGGAGGAAACTTTAAGGCGTTAAAGTGGAACACTTGGTGTGGAGTGCTTTCAGAGGTACCACACCGGGGAAAAGCTTAGCTCAGCAGTACCTGCCAGGACATTGTTAGCTTAGCTCTCCCATGCCATTTTACAGCCAATTTAACATGGCTAATGGCATCAAAAACCTCGCTGAAATACAAATGCACAGAATGGACAGATGCTTTTATAATATAGTCAGATTAAGCATCATTTTGGGAGTGCTAATGCTCAAGTGTACTTACTGTAAGATGGTATTTTCCCCTTACTCAGCATGATCTGCCAGGGGAGTTAATGCAGCCATGCAGTACTTAAATGTATATTAAAAATGTGTGTGTACCTGCATGTGTTGTATCATTTAAAAGCCTCACCTCTCTGAGCATGGGGTCGGTGATGGAGCTGAGGTTGACCGCGCCTTCGTAGGTGAGATAATAGAAAACATTGAGGGCCCTGGTGGCTTCAGGACCGTGCTGCTTGTAGCCAAAGATTAGATCGATCCACTGGTGGAGCTGGCAGGACACAAACTCACTCTCTAGAGCCTGTAAATGGAGGAGAGGGCAGAGGATTACGAGTATTGTAAACGTCAACAGATGCACACCATTTACACACCATACTCTAACCAAATGCTACTCCCCAACCATGTTCCTCATCCCATTACTGAACAGCAGTTATCACTAATGCCTCTCAAAGACGAATTCCACAGAGAAAGCAAAATTTCCCACTAATTGTTCCTGTGACAGAATCTGCCAATGATTTCTATAACGAGCAAAAAGCACAGTAAATCCAAATCGTATCATGCGGGAGCATCTAAACATTATTGAACTCTTGTAGTTCTTTAGGGAACCATTTCAGCTCCTGTCTTTGTTTTTTTCTCTGCCAGTTGTGGGTGGATAAGAGCACCGTGTTGCTCTTCTACAGACGCCTCTGCATCGCCGTTATGCTGAGATACAAGCCGTTTTCTCTCCTCATTAGCCAGCAAAGGAGGGAAAAAACATTTATGGTTTCCTCATAAAAACAGGCAATTGTGTTAATTTGTGTAAAGCTGTCGGCTCACAAAAGCCCTCTAAATGTGACCAAATTAAAATGAGGCAGCCCTTGATTGTCATTGCTGCCTTGTGTCACATTAATTTGTGACAAAACATTAGCCTGTGCTACACTTAAATGGCAATTTATATCATTTAAATTTTTTACTGCAGAGAACGCCGCATCCCTCACTTAAATGCGAGTTTCTGACAGCTCATTCTGCATCTAATTCCTCCCCACTCTCTTAATTACAACTTTCAATCAAGGAGGACAGCTCGGGCATAAAGAGGAGGCTGTGTGCGTTCGAGGTATGATGATCTTTTCACTGCAGCTTGAGTATTCACCGAATTTTTGATGCCGTCACAGATTTCATGATTGGAACCGATGAGAATCTTAACAATGCAAATACTGTGTGAATAATACAGGAGTGGGAATCATATCATTGACTCTTAAGGGGGGGGGGGATCCACAAGACAGAGACATAAAAGGTTTTCATGTTCAGTGTTTGGAAACATGCAAATGTGTTATTAACTAGGGCCAAGCACCGTTATCAACTATGCATATGACTTTGTCATAGGTGTAAAACTAATCCCATACACTGTAGGTCGATGGTTATTACACACACTGGTATTTTGGACAATGCCCTGCTTAGACGTAAACACTGTTCTGAGGGCTGTAGTCTTGACAAAATTAGCAGATGGAGAGAGATTTGTTTGTTCTTTTCCCCTTTGTGCAACTCACTGGATGACATTCTCTGTTAATAGGGTTGAACTACGGCTGCTGTGGTGGTCACCTTTAGTATTAAGACAAAACAGAACACTCCTAGAGTCTAAGACAGTCTAGACTCCATGTCTATCTGTCCTTCTGACAACGTATTCACAGTATATTAGTGTGTTTAAAGGCCAGTGTCATAGGCCAATGCTATTAATGTTACATTATAAACCAGGAAAACCCTCTTTATTCAAACACTTCAATGCAGGGAGTGTGGTTAAATAATGTGTGTGTATGTAAGTAAGAGAAAGAGAGAGATCAGTTCATTATGCGCCAAGTCTGACCTTTGATGGTCCCTGCTCCCTTGTTTCTAAAACTAAAGCGGGGTCTGATGGGCATTTAATGTGCTCTGCAATCTACTGTCAATCAACATGGGGAAACAAAGAGCAGCTATGTTATTGCGGCTCTCTCTCCAGAGGCTCACCTTTATGGAAATCACTCGCATGTACTACTTGGAGAGGGAAAGAAACGAAGTAAGTAAAAGTCGACATTGGGCTGTGTAATTCTGCATTTGTTTGGTCTGACACCATCAAGGCTCGGCAGTTCCACGTGACTGAAGTCTAGGTGTAACAGTTCCAGCAGATTAGATCTCAGAGATTCAACAAACATCTGCCTGTGGGGATGCAGTAAACTACTTTGATTCTTTCTCTTCTAAGCTCTTTCACAACCAGCAGACTGTTAGTGTCAGGCAGGGAACAGTTAGACTGGGATTCAAGAAAAATGACACCCATAAAAGTTCTAGACCAAGGTGTCCATATCAGAGGTACATTAATCAAAAAACTGTCTAAAGACAACTTGATTATTGCTTGTACTTTAATAATGAATAGGCATAGTGATGTTCAGTCACTTCTCATTATAAATGAGGTTTCCGGTTCTGTACCGGAAACAAATTCCTTGTGTGTGTGTGTAACATACTTGGCCAAATAAAGGTGATTATCCTGATTATTATCCTGTGATTATACATCATATGAAAAAAACCAAAACAAGCAATGAAAGGAAACCGGGCTACTATCAAGTACTGACTGTGTAGTCAAACCGTGATATTATTTTATGTACCAGACGCCTGCAGATCTGTCAAAACAACTTCAACACACATCAACGAGCTATACTGTTATACTAGGAGACATGTTCCTTCACTACACTGAACCAGACACTGTAGTTTATTTAGACTCGATCTCACATATGCCGTCCTGCTGCTGTAAACAGCCACAAACTCACTGTGACAAATTTGTGGCTAAACATAATCCATAATTTCTCATTTAAAAAAAACATTGAAATTATATATTTGTGACCCATTTTCAAAGACTTTCATCTTCAGTGGGAACAAACGGGCATTGAGGCTGAACGCCACAATGGCACATGTCAGGGAAGTTTAAAAGTATCAAGAGACAAACTAATGCATCACCAGCTTCATTCTTACATTAATATTTTATAATACTGTGAACAAAGCTAGACAAATAGCATGCTAACACAATCTCACAAGTGGGGCAGTGACAACAAAATCAGCAGTGACATTAAATTTCCACCTTGTATCAAAGAAGACTGCGTGTGAGGAATTTCAGCTACTGGATGGACAAGCCATCTAAGTCAAGTACTGATAATCCATTAACAATGTGCCAGGAGAGCAGGTGTGGAAATGCCTCCGCGAGCAGAACCACACTGTGAAAACAGCTGAGCAGAAGGTTGGGGCAGACAGCAGATTCCTGAGGTGGGATCTGGTGCCACTTCAGGAGAACCAGGCAGGATTATTGATGGGCCAATTAGCAGCCAGTGTGTGTGTCATCCCCACCCACAGGGGACTCCTCTGATAATTAATGAATAATTTAGCATGCCTTTATGTAAATGCTGATAGGGGGTAGAAATCATTGGAAGCCCCCATTTCTATTGTTACAGATTTGACAAAGTACACCTTTGAAGCAAAGGGGGATTCCCTTTGTTGTGTATGGTGACGTGTTTCCAGTGGAAACAACAATTTGGGATATTCTCTTATGTAGAAAAATGTAATGGTCACTTTTCCCCATCAGAGCCAAGTATTTAAATGCATATTATTATTTTCTCTTTGTGGATTTTGTACTAATTTGGCATGTGGGCTGGTTTTTCAGTTATTGAACAGAAGGTCACATTTTGACTGGGACTGTCAACACGTTAGTCTTTAGACAGTGATAAACTCTAGACTCAAAGACATGGCATTGTTATCTGACACATCAGACTGAAGACACCAAGTGATTGCAATTAACCAGCTGTTGGACATTAATCCTTTGGAGGAAAACCTAAAAATGTCCTCGACTCGCAGGCTACTCTCCAGCCTTGGAACGCCTTGGAATACTTTTTCTGCTTGCAGGAGGGTGTGATTTATTTTTCTCTCTTTTTCTTTTCATCTCACTTCGGACTTCTTTTAGTGATTATCTTTCTTTGCTCCAAGGTACTATAAACATGTATAACCATGCTACAGGTCTGCAGGACATACGCTGGGCCTATCAGTGAAGTCTCTGTAGTGTGTGGTAGGCTTTGGGGTCCAGAGTGAGCTGAATTACACTGAAGCCTTAACGAGATGACACAATGCTTTCCTCCGATCCTAAAAGACGTATGGAGAGCTGCCCGTAAGGATGTTAAAATGCCACTCAACAAGTCAAAACACTCATTTGCATGCCAACTGTGGTGTGAGTTTATGTGCATATGCAAGTACGTGTGTCACTGACAGTGCGAGTACGTAATCGAATGCACATGTTGTATGCAGTGTTGTCAGCGGCAGGCTGTTTTCTTTTGTATCGATTACAGATGAATAAAGCAAACACTTGTCAGGTCTGTATACACTAAAAAATGTCTGTTTAAGAACAAGCTGATCAAAACATCCTGAAAACCACATTCAGTATGTGTGACAAAAAAACACCACACATGCTGACATAAAACAGTATGATTCTAAAGTAGTAATTAAATCAAGATTTGTTTTGTCACATTGTACTCTTACTGTGAATTGTAAATTAAATTATTAAATCCCATCAGTTCCACATGTTTCAAACTGCACTAAGCATCATCATGCTTAGCAGAAGCCAGTCTATTCATCTTACTTCAGTGCCAATTCATCATCCCTCTTGTTCTGACTCTTTATTCTTTCTCCAAGTTCAACAGCCCTCTTTCATTTTCCCCTCTACTTATTCTCTCACTCTCAGTGCTATTCCTTTTTTTTCTCCTCCTGCTCTTTCTTCCAGTCATCTGATCCTTTGGATCAGCTCCTCCCGAGTTGCTTTGCCCTGAGGTTGACAAGCACTCTGATTAAAGGGCTTATTAGCTCGCTGTAAATGAGAAGCGGATTGTCATTTTGAGGCAGGCAGAGGAAGCCTGTAGCCAACAAGGGGAGAGGGGGCCCCCTACATAGAAGAGGAAAAAGACACACACAAGAAGCAATGGGTGACGTAAGGAACGAGAGCCTTGGAGCAGCCGCACAGCTAACAAACCATTTCCTTTATTCTTATATTCACACACACACTCACCCCAAGAGAACCCCAGATGGGTTGTGTGTATTACTTTAGTCTACCCCTCCTTCCTGTTCTACTAATTAGATAGGTCACAACTGTGAGAGTTCTGGCTATGGGTCAACGGAGGCACTCGCTGGCAAGTGGAACCTGAGACTCTAACCCCAACTCTCTCCACTCCTCTTTCTTCTTATTCCTCGCCCACTTGAAAAGCAAGAATATCATGTTATGTGGTGAAAAGAAGCAGAATGAGCAGTGATTGGGAAAGTATC